ATAGATTGAATGAACGTATTTTCTGATTGGGAGGAGCAAGTTTTGATAAAAACCTGACTTTCTTCATAAATCTCCCCCTCTCCCCAAGAAACTTACTGAATTAGCAACTCTCTATATTATCAAGTCACTAGAAAAAATCATGTATAATTGACCAAATAAATTATGAGTCTTTTTAAGCTGTTAATAAATAGAACATTCCAGATATTCGTAAACAAGGAATATTCCAGTATTTATGTCAAACTCAAGGGTCGTTTAGGTGTTTATCTTATCATGAAGATAAAATAAATACATATATAATTAAGTAATTACTAGTTAGTTCTTACTTCTTAGCTTCTGGCCCTCTACACAGTACATAACAACGATTCCTCACCAACTAATAAATTCATAATCAAAATAATTCAATTATTTATATTATAAAAAATATAATATTATGTTTGATTTTTATGATTTTATTACGTGTTGCATTTTTTTTCTTAGAAGAAAAGACAATTCACGACATATATCGTTGACTTGATCAATCAAATCAAAAAAGTAATTCAGTAATTATGAAACAAATGAGCAAGGAGACTTTCCAAATGGACGAACTAAAAGACTCAGGTAATTCACGTCGATGATTATTATAAAAATTGTATAAAAACATTTTGGAACCATTCATTTAAAATCTTATTTTATTTTAGATTAGAAAGTTGAAGTCTTGTAGTTACTACAAAGATTTTTCTTGTCAAAATATCTTATTTTCCTGACATTTTGGTTAGTCTTTTACGTTGGGAGTTTGTCGTTTTGAAAGGTCTATGTCTTACTGTCGTTTTTTTTTTATCGAAACAACCTACGCAATGTTCGTCGGGTTTGTTATTTTTCGCTTTCTTTTTTGCTCGATTATGCCAATATTTTCACGATATTGCTCTTGTATGTTTTTAATTTGGATTTGATTCTTTCTAGTCTAATAAAAATAACTAAATTTACTATAAACATGTATCGTTGAATTTTATTGAGAGATAAATTATTGTGATTGTTTTAAACAAACTAAAAATATATATTTGTATTCTATTCTGAGTTAAAAATCAAACAAGTATATCTTTTACACTTTCACAATCATCGAATTTACCACGAAAAACACCAAATGCAACATTTGTCAATTGTCACTCGGGTCTAGAAGACAACAAATATATATATATATTCTTCAAAAAAAACTAAAAATTAAAAAATGTTGTATGTTTTAAAGGGAATCGATATATCATATAATTTATAGATTTGTTGTTTTATGAGGTATTTGGCCCGACAACATTGCATGTCTTAAGATACGAGCATCTCCAACAGATTCTTTAAAATTAAGGAAACAAGTATTTTAGACAAGTTTCTACTTCAACGGATCTTTCAAAATGAAGAAAATATGTAAAAGGATGTGAAGTTTTCTAATAATATAAATAACTCGAGTAAGAAACAAATTTTTACATATCCCCACCAATTTTTCTCTTTGAAATTAAATGCTTACAATGAATATATTGTATTTTATTAATTTATGAAATATTTTAATAATATAATTGATGATGTAAATATGAAAAATAAAAAAAAAGTTAAATGTAATTTATTTTTTTGATTTAATTTCAATTCTTTATTTAAAAAAGAAAATTTGTTGGAGATGATATAAGATCAGTAACATTAAAGCTATGAGTTCAACTTCTATTTAAAGGCATTAAAGATTCGGAATGATTTAGAATTAAAAACTTGTTTAAATATTTAAAGTTTTTTTTACATAATGGTCCTCAAATTTTACACAAACAACATTTGAAACGTGGGGTAAATTGTGTACCATCTAAAAAAGGAGAGAATTTCAATTTTGGCCCTTGAGTTTTTCATTTTTTATGTTTTTTTTATCTTTAGGTGGCGTTTGGTTCGCAGAATATTTTGGATGAAATGATATTTGTTAAAGGAAATTGATTTTGAAAGAATTGGAATGAAATGTTGTCACGTTTAACCATCTATTTGGTTGACAGACATTAGAATGAAATTTGTTAAGAAATTTGAATTTGTCTGTTTGGTTCACAAAATATAGCTTTGGATTTGGAATGATATATTGTTAAATGACCAAAAAGCCTTCTTTGATTTTTTTTAAAACTAAAAGTACTTTAATAAAATAATTATTATTGATATATACAACAATATAAAATACAAAAACCAAATATAACCATAAGCCAACGACGTTACTATATCAACGGTGGTTGGTGGTGGTTCAGATCGGTAGGAGTCCATGGTGGTTCAGATCGGTGGTGGTCCGCAGTGGCTCAGATGGCGGTGGTCGGTAATGGTTCAAATGGAGGTGGTCATCGGTGGTTCAGATGGACGGTAGCGACGTTGGTTCATATTAGTGGTTGTTCAAATCGTTGGTGGTTGGCAGTGTCCGACAGTGATTCAGATTGGTGGTAGTCGCTCGTGGTGAACGATGGTTCAGATGGGTGGTGGTTTGTGGTGCTTCAGGTGGTGGTCGTCGGATGTTGTTCAAATCGGCGGTGATTCAGATCGACGATAGATCAGATTGATGATGATCGGCGGTGATTCAGATCGGTAGTAGCTGGCGACGGTTTAGATCGATGGTGGTCCATGGTGGTTCAGATAGCGGTGGTTGATAGTGGTTCAGATCGGTGGTGATCCATGGTGGTTCAGATGTTAGTGATCGAGAGTGGTTCAGATCGACGATGGATCATATCAATAGTGGTTCAAATCGACGGTGGTTCGGATTGGTAGTGGTCGGTGGTGGTTCAGCTCCGTGGTGGTTCAATCGGTGATAGTCGACGGTAGTGGTCGGCCTTAGTTCAGATGGTGATGGTGCCGGTGATTCAAATCAACAGTGGTCAAAGGTGGTTGGCGATGGTCATATTGGGTTTTATGAGATTAGGGTATATTGGATTAAGGACATATTTTATATTATGAAAATAGAGAATTTCATTTTATCAAAATACCAGGTTGCTAAGAAATGTTAAATTCCTTTATTTGTGCGATTTGTAAGGTTTCAAAGATTCTTTTCTTGAAAAAAAAAATGAATCAAACGAGGAAATAAAATTTAGTCAATGATCCCTGGTAGTGGAACAACTATAGGTCATCTGAAAGTATGGAGGAGAGGTACCTCGACAAGGTGGTTTTCAAATTCGGTTTCACAGGGGAGGCAAACAGTAGTGGGAGAACCAACGTGGGTTTCACATCTGCCACTTCTAGACATGACTATTTCACCATCAGATGTGAGTTTCATGACGTAGTTACTTCACCGTCGGAGGAGGACGCAGATGTGTGAGTTGGGTGTGTAATCGAAGATTAATGGATAATTCCCATGAACGAGGAGACGGGGATGGATGATAGTGAAGGAGAGTACCCCGATCACTATGTCTATGAGTATGTAATATAATAATAATCCTATATACTATATTATATAATAAATTTTTTTATTTTCCTCCCAAAGAATATACTGTTTTTTAATATTTTAATAAGAAAAAAAAGCAGAGTGATAGACTAGAATGTCCTCTTAGTTTAATCGGTTAACATAATCCATTAGGACAAAGGATAAAATCTAAGCTAAACCACAAATTTAGATGACAAATTTGTATTGACTTTGGACGTGACACTTTGAGCACAAAACGTGTTTTTTAAGAATATAAACATTAAAAAATTGATTTTGAAGAAAATGATATATTTGCGTTCAGATTGAATTTAAATACGAAAACTTTTAGCATACATTTACAATATATTGTTATAAGTAGGTCAAATGGACCTAACAAAGTTTCGCAAATGACATATATGCCTTCTAAAATAGTTTTATGTGATGAGTTCAACATAAAACAATTGTTTATCATAGTTTCACTGATTACAATTGTTTTTCATGGAATTTACTGAGGTACAGTTTAGCACCAATAAGAAAATTTTAGGCGAGACAATTAGTTTTTCCATGATCGAAATTTCCAGATAAGTTTAGAGCTTTTCCAAGAAATTCATTGAAACGGAGAAAGAAATATGATTTTGATGTTTTAAACCCAGTTTTGTTCCAGTAGATTTTCAAATTATTCACAGATGAAGAAGTAAAAGAAAATTTATAAAAAATTTCATATTTGGAGAATTTTCCAAAATTAAACGCTAAAGAGAAACGAATATTATTTTTATTGTTTTTTACAATTAAAGTTGAACGTATTATATATTTATGGGAAAAGTTAAAAATACAACAATCGACTTTTCAGTTTTAAGTTTTTTATTGAATGAAAAAAATTATTAAACTTTCTTATTTTGAATAATCAAATAATGTACTATTTTTTTTAATGATAAGTTATTAAACTTTCTCATTTCTAAAATTATATAATTATTTATATTTAAATTATATAATTAACATTCATTTAAACAAAAATATGTCATTAACAGTATTTAACACATTTATATTCTACTAAAAAACATCAATTAAGACAGTTAATGATCGATTAAGATTAATCGATTGGAAAACACCATTGTTAAGAGTTTGAAATAATTTTCTAAAGAAATTTGATGTAAAGAGCGATAAAACAAAATTTTACCGTCTTGAATTATTATTATTTTATATATTATATTAAAATAATAATTAATATTAAAATCTATACAAGAGAGAACCTCTCGAAATTGAACGTTATTTTCTATTAAAGATTTTAGCTTTTGATATTTTTATTTTAGAGAAAAAAAAAATATAAAGAGATATTTGTTTATTGATTTATATTCCACCAATTACATAAATAAATATAAATTAAATAAATATAAATTAAAAGAAAAAAGACAATAAAAAGAGGGTCCCACCAACTACAGTTAAAAAGGAAAAGAAATAAGAGAGACATAAGGAAAGATGAAGGGTATTAAGGGGAATATTGCAAAATCCCCAAGGATTGCAGAAAAAGTAAACGGAAGTACGCCTTTAGACCTGAATTGTTTTTGGTTTTTAACGTCTTCTCCTTTCCCCTTTTCCCCTTGGAATTATTCTCCAAATTCACAACCCTCCTCCATTTCTCTTTTCCGTCTCAGCAGATAGATTTCATGGGTTTCCTCTCATTTCACGCATAATTTCTCGAATCAGAATCTCTTAACTTGCTTCTATCCACTTCCCCTTTCTTCTTTCTTTGCTTACTCAATCATTTCTATACATATTCTTTGCTAATTTCAGCTAGCAATGTCTGAAAGTCCAGCTAAAGTCCGCTTAGTTCGCTGCCCCAAATGCGATAATCTGCTCCCTGAAGTCACTGATTATGCTGTTTATCAGTGTGGTGGTTGTGGTGCTGTTCTTCGTGGTAAACTTCCCTTTCTATTTCCCCCTCCCCCCTCCACCTTTTTGTTTGATTCTTTTGAAGAAACTCAGATGTGGGTTCGTAAATGTATGGTTTGTTTGTGTTTTATGTGTTTATTATTGATGGGTCAGTGCAGAAACGATCTGGGTAATGGGTATGTCTGATCTTGTGAAGAACATGTGGTTTTTTTGATGGGGTTTCGTGAAAATACGAATCTACGTTTTGAATGTTGTGTTTTTCTTTTGATTTGGGGTCAGATTAATGCGATTTTGTGAAGAAATTGAGATGGGTTTGTGGGATTATTATAGTAAATTTGCCTTGTAATGTGCTCATTCTTGACTTCTTTTGGATTTTTATTCTCTGTAGCAGTCAAAACTCAAAATCAAGATTATGTGTGGTTCTGAATAAATCAAAATGGGGTTTTTTGTTTTATTTTCTTTTATTTTTATTGATTTTCTTATAATATTTATTTATTGATCAAGTAAAAATTCTATGGGATTCTCTCTTCTTCATATGGTATTTTTTAATCCAAAATTTGATTTTTATATATATATTTATGTGTTGATTTACAGCAACGAATAAACATATTGGATCCAGTATATCTTCAGAGAAATCTGGTGATGAAAATGATGGGGTTTCAAACAAAATTCCTAAAGAATCTGTGAATCTTGATTTCTCAAGAAATAGTGTTCAGAACATGAGTTTAGGGTCTGAAAATGGAGCAACATACAACGGAAGTTCTGGTAGGAGACACGAGAGAGACGACGATAACAACACCGAGTTCGAGGAACCAAAACCCGTGATCGGAAACGGCAAAATCGGTCCAAGAAACTCGGTTCGGAGCTCGAATAGGAGATATGGAGAAACTGGTCTTCAAGAGGGTTCATCATCAAGTTACCATTATGCACCACGCCATGAATACGCCGAGCTAGTTCAAAACTCGAATGATCATCTAGAGGTTGAAGATGATCGAGATGAGCTCTTACGGAAATTAGATGAGCTCAAGGACCAAATTGTTCGATCTCGTGATAAATCTAAAGAAAAGGTTCCTACCCATCATCCTTATGCAAATATACATCATAACAGTCATTCTTTATTGCCTCCATCGAATCAAGTTCAAATCTTTAACGATCCTTTTAGGCCGCAAAACCATGTAAGAACTCCGATCATGCCTTATGAACAACAAAACCCGTATCATCCCTACTATTCTGGACAATATGTTAGCCAAGAAATGACTGATAATCGATTATTTCACCACCCTTCTTGTTCTTGTTTGGTTTGCTACAATAAACACCACCAAGCTCCACCGCCTCCTCCACCGCCACTGCCGCCTATAGCGCCTCCTGTTATGCAGAACGATCCGAATTTCTACCACCATGATTATAATAACCGTAGGTTCTCCAATCTTTCTTTGAACTCTCATGGTGCTGAATCCCACACAAGATGGTCTAATGATCTTCGCCGCCCTCCAAGGGGAATCTTAGCCACCGGAGGGAGGCGGTGCCACCCTATAGCTGGCGGTTCTCCGTTCGTGGCATGCTGTAAATGTTACGAATTGCTTCAAGTACCCGAAAAGAGTACCAAGAAAATGAGATGTGCAGCATGCTCTGAAGTGATGCTGATCTCCATCGTCAACAAGAAACTTGTTCTCTCTGTTTATGTAGAAACTAATCGGGATTCTGAGAAGCCAAAAGATGATCTCAAGACTCGTGGAGATGCGAAATGGGGCGGCACTGAATTTTCCTCTGAGGATTATGACAACTCCGGCAATTATGACTTTGAATCGATGGATAAGTTGCAAGTAGGAGGCCCGAGTCTGACTTCCTACAAATCTGCAGTTTCATACACATCGGAGGATGAAGAAAAACTCGGTATCAGAGAAGATGAAAATTCTGTAGATGCAGCGATGAAAGCCGAAAAGCCATCTCCACCTCCTTCGGGTTCACCTCTTCAAGATCATTTCGATTATTCGACGACTTATAATCGGGCAGGAAAAGGAAACAGAAGCCAAAGGATGGATATCGAACCGGCTAAAGTGGCCGTTGATTTAGGGTCCCATGGAAGTTCCATGAAAGATGCTGCGGTGGCGAGTGAGATCGAGATTTCATCGAATGAATATTGCATCAACACGGGCACTTCTCTAGAATCCGGGGATACAAATAGGGAGACGGATCACCAAAGAAACAGCGGAGGAAATGTTCCGTTCTTCATGGGTATGATCAAGAAAAGCTTCCGGGAGTTATCGAAGTCTACTGAACATGTCGATCATGGAAAAGTCCATGTGACAGTCAACGGGCATCTGATACCGGATCGGTTGGTCAAAAAGGCTGAAAAGCGTGCTGGACCGATCCAGCCCGGCGAATACTGGTTAGTACTGTGAAGGAAGACACCATATTCTTCAAATTTTCTTGAAATTCATATCGATATGCATTGCAACAAAATCGACTTAAGTGGAACGTTCTAATAGACTCTTTACTGGATCAAACAATTGTACGTCCTATGTAAAGGTGTCACAATAAGTCGATAGGACACCAAACAGTTTTTAGGACATTTAAACATATTTGAAGTCTTTTAAAGCTAATTTTGTTGTAACGAAGTATGCACATTTCCTGATTATTTTCTTTATGATTTAGGTACGATGCAAGAGCTGGATTCTGGGGTATGATGGGCGGCCCTTGCCGGGGCATAATTCCGGTAACTTTTCGATCATTAGTCGGTTGGTTTATCGTGTCCTATTGCAACTAATGTAAAGAAAAAACCGTTTTTGACAGCCGTTCATTGAAGAATTCAATTATCCGATGCCAGAAAAATGTGCCGATGGTAACACTAACGTTTTCGTTAATGGGAGAGAGCTTCATCAGAGAGATTTGGACTTGCTTTCGAGTAGAGGCCTCCCAACAGATACAGATAGATCTTATGTTGTTGAGATCTCCGGGAGAGTGCTCGATGAGGACTCGGGTCAAGAACTCGAATGCCTCGGTAAACTCGCCCCAACGTAAGTACCGACTTTTATTTCATGGCCCCTTTTTGACCTTACCGTCTCATTATCATCACTGTGAAAATACGTGGAACCCCATTAGATTACACTCCAAAATAGCCATGATCGAAAAGAAATGGTCCAATTCTAGCCGATGTTCACAGTATCATAGTTCCTATAGTGGTAGATTTTGGCTTTGATATCATGTGAAAATACAGTGAACCCCATAAGATTGCTTTCCAAAAGAGCCATTGAGGAGAGAAGGGTGGTTTCAACATATACCGAGAAGAAATGGTCGAAGTACAACCTATTTGGAACTCTTAACAATTACTAAGCTAATGCCCTTGCATATTTACATGATTTCTTTTTATGTTTACTTGGGGTATATCCGATGGAAACGACCATTCTAATCCTTGGATAGAGGACAAGTCTACTTACCGAGTGGGATATACTACGACTCATTTAGTGTCTGCTTGTTAGCAGCTTAACGAGACTCGTAACTTATTTGGTCAGCTATACATAACTGCTTGATAGTGGCTTAACTATATAAAAAAATGGCTTATTCAGTAAGCTTCTAGGGAGGAGTTTTATGCGAAAGCCAAGTTTCTTCCAAACATGTCCTTCTCAATTAAAAAAAAACACGCTCCTTCCATCTATGAAAAAACTCTCCCAAACAAAAACCTTCCCAATTTATACAGCCATACAAACAAGTTTATCCATACAGAACTTGATGAAAAACCAACCAAAAAGCCTCGTAGTTTGGTTAGAGGCGATTTATAGCATGCTGGACATTCTACACATGTGAATGTGATGGTTTCGCTATCCAAGTAGGTTTTAAGGTTTAGGGTTTATATGGATCTTGTGACTTAGTTTCACAAGGAACGCCTTAGAGACTTGTTGATCATGTGCTAACTGTTTGTTTCTTGTTACGTTTACAGGGTCGAGCGCAAAAAACATGGATTTGGAATGAAGCCTCCGAAAGCAGCTGCTGCATAACGTAGTCCTCGATCTCTTTGATGTTGATTTTAGACATCACGTAAATTCTTTTAGACGATTAAAAACTTAGACCTTTGTGTATCGACGCATGTAGGAGTTTTGATCACTTTCTTTTTTTGGTTTTATCGGAAGATTTGTTGTTTCCAGTTTCGAATCCATTTTTAAATGTGCATCCGATCAACGGTTTACATGTTTTATGTTGGTGTATATATTCAAGTTTTCACATTGAACTCACCTTCATTCATTGTCTCATTCCTGGAGTCTTTTAAGCGATTTCGGTTAAAAGTATTCAAAACGAGATTCAAGGTGGCGTTTGGTTCGCAGATTTTGGAGGGATCTGATGGAATTAGAATGTTTAATTCCATTGACCAAATTCCATTCTCTCGTTTGGTTCATTTTTTTTCACGAAAGGAATCTTCAAAATTCTACAAATTTCACAAATAAAGAAATTTAACATTCCTTAGCAACTACATGATATTTTAATGAAATGAAATTTCTATCTTCATTATACCAAATATGTCCTTAACCTAATATACTCTAATCTCATAAAACTCAATATGAACATCGTCGACCACCACCACCGACTACCACCGCCAACCACTACCGCCAACCACTACCGCCGATCTAAACTACCGATAAAAACCATCATTGATCTGAACCACCACCGACCACTACCAATCTAAATCACCATCGGACACCGCCGATCTGAGCCATCATTGATTTGATTCATCGTCAATCTGAACCACTGCCGATAACCGCCATATAAACCACCATGGACCACCACCGATCTGAACCACCGCTGACCACCGTCGATTTAGTAATGTTGTTTGGCTTATGATTATATTTGAATTGTGTATTTTATATTGTTTTACATATTAAATAATTATTTTATTTAAGTATTTTTAGTTTTAAAAAAATTAAAATTTTCAAAAAGGGCATTTTGGTCATTTACCAATATTTTATTCCAATTCTAAAGCTACATTCTGTGAACTAAACAGACATATTCCAATTTCTTAAGAGATTTCATTCCAATGTCTGCCAACCAAACAGGTGATCAAACTTGATAACATTACATTACAATTCCTTCAAAGTCAAATTTTTTTAACAAATTCTATTCCATTCAAAAACATTCTGCGAACCAAACGTCATCATAATATTGATCGGGGATGTCATTTTGAATTTTGATGGTCTAGAAATAGGAAAGAATTTTTGAAGCAATGAACCTATTATATTATATAAAATTAATATTAATAACATCTAAGCAAATTCTTTAAAATTAAAATCAGAACTCAAAATCTTCAAAGAAGATAACATTCATTTTCGAACAGATTTTTTATTTTAAAGATTATAATATTAATTATTTTATACATATATTAAAAATTTATTTATCTCTCATAATTATTTAGAGCCAAGGGTTATACTTGATGAAAATATAATAAAGAAAATATTTCTCACTCGTTTTAGTAATTTTTTAAAGTTTCTCAAATTTGAATAATTTAACATTCTCTCTCATTTCTTTGTGTTTTTGAAAACTAGAAGGGTATTCGAACAATGCAGCGAAATAAATCTTCATTTTAATGTTTAATTTTTATTATTTGTCTCTATCGATGTAATACAATTTTATGTTGGTTTTGAGAAAGCGATAATGTTTTTATTTTTGAATTAAAATATAACTTTGAAGATTGCATAAAAAATCGATATTTCTATACTATATTATAAAGCATTTGATAAAAATTCTTAAAACCCATTTTTTATGCATGATGTACTGTATATTGATGCATATTACTTAAAATTCAAAATTACAAGTAAATTATGCATAAGTACAGCTTATTAAAGCTATATGTTTGAATTCGTGTAACTAACCGCGGATAAACATGATCAAATAGAGGATAAACATCTCATTTTAAAAAACTAAAATATAATTAGGATAATTATCGAATTCTAATAAAATAATTAATTATTATCTTTATTAAAAAACAAAAAAAACTAAAATATAATCAGGATAATTATCGAATTCTATCAAAATAATTAATTATTATCTTTATAAGAAAATTATATTATTAAACCAAATATAAATTATTTCGTTATTAAACCTAAATTAAATTATAATAAAAAATTGAATTAAAAAATTACACAAAAAATAGGAATTTTAAATAATTATTTTAATACTGATATCGATATATTTTTGTTATTTTTTAATGATATCTTCAAATTTATATTTTATTTAAAAATAAAAACATCATCGGTTTTTCAAATCACATAAGACCATACTATAACATCGATTGAGATAAAGAATAAAATGAAATATTAAAATTAAGATGTATTTCGCTGCATTGCGCGAGCACATTTCTAGTATTAAATTAACTATTTAATAATTCTCATTTTTTGGTGTAACTTCTTTAATTTCAATTTTTCAGTATAATTTAATTTAGGTCTAACAACAAAGTAATTTATTTTTTGGTTTAATAATACAATTTTTATTAAAGATAATAATTAAACATTCAGTTAGAAACTCAATGATTATCTTAATTGTATTTTAGATTGTCTATATTTAAAATAAATGTTTATCCTATATTTTATTATGTTTATCTGCAGTTAGTTACACAAATTTAAAAATGATGCTTTAATAAGTTGTACTTACGTCAAAATTACTTGTAATCTTAAATTTTAAGTAATATACATCAATAAACAGTACTTCATTCATAAAAAATAGTTTTTAAGAGTTTTTTTTATAATACTTTATAATGTTTTTGAAAATTTGTTAAACTAAAAAATTATCCAAAATTTTATTTTTTATATTTTAAACAATTTGTTAAAGATTTTCTTTAAAAAAATGAAAATCTTATTCTCATGATGGAGGAATAATCGCATTTAATTATAATATTATTATAATTTTTTTTTTTTGGTTAGGAGCTGGCAAAAATGGACGGAAAGATGTTGACTTTTCAACAAATTTTCATAAATGCCATTGTAGATTAGAAGATGACAATAGCATGTACAACTTCTGCGGCATAGGGTACAACCCTTAAAGCCTAATGTAGAGTTCATAAAGCATAATGTAATTGCTAATGCATAAGCCTTTTAGTTTTAATTCCCCTTTCATCTTTAAGCCACCTTTTACTCAACATACTTGAATACAACCCTGAACCCACTCTAAACCCCTGATACCCCACCTGTTTTATAGAGAGAAATCCCTGAATTCGATGTTTTCTTGAGGAATTGCCCCCAAAATTGCGTCAATCCAATGAAGAAGATGAAGTTGGATATGAACAACAATCAAATTCCATCGAATCTGAAGCAGAATCAAATGTTTGTTAAGATTGCTATTGGTCTGATCTTAATGTGGTTAGCTTATCACTTCTATTTCTCAAGTTCGATTCAGATTTCCCCCGTCGTTGAAGCCGATGATGACCACAGATTGCCGTCCTCACCGCCTCCGGTGGTGGCTAATTTGACACTATCTGGCGAAATTCCGGTGAATAACACCAGCATTCACGAAGACGAAGGTATGTTTCCTTGAAAAGCAAACATGCATGATTGATCTCACTTTTGATCGTCATAATTGATTTGAAATTTTTCGTAGCAATTTTGAACTGAAAAAAATGGATTGTTTATTGCCATGATTACAATTTTTACCTCATAATTTCAATTCTCTGTAGCATACAAATGTATGATGTTTACTGCATAATGTACAAGTGATTGAAATAGATATTTTCCCCATAATTAGGTTCAATGGAATGTGATGTTTTCACCGGAGAATGGGTTAGGGATCCGACGGGTCCACGGTACACCAACCGCAGCTGCAACACCATCGAACACCATCAAAACTGTATGAAGAACGGCCGGCCTGATTCCGATTACTTCTACTGGCGGTGGAGTCCTGTAGACTGTGATTTGCCAGCATTCGACCCGAAATTGTTTCTGGAATTCATGAGGAAGAAATCAATGGCATTCATCGGCGATTCAATCACGCGCAACCACGTGCAGTCGTTGCTTTGTATTCTTTCTCAAGTATGCACATCTTAGGCATATGTAGTCGTGTTGGGGCCATTTGTTAATGGGACTCGCACCTATTCGGTCTGTAAGTTATACATGACTGATTGGTAGTACCTTAATGATATAGAAAGTGGCTTATTGAGTAAGCTTCTATTATTTGTTTTCTAGTTTTTTCCAAACCAGTTAAAAAACACACTCTTCTGTTTAGAAAAAACCCCTCCCAAACAAAACACTTTTGAATCTATAAGGACATATTAATCCACATAGACAATTTTATTCGGTAGGACCTAATGAAAAAGCAATCAAACAGCCGTTTGGATTCACTCCGGCTAGATTTGGACTATTTATCGTTTATATACGTTTGGGCCTCTCTTTTGGAGAGTAATTTTAGGGTTTATATGTATTCTCAAATAGTATCAGAGCCAAAGTATAGTAGTTTAGTTGGCTCCACAGTTATGTGTATTTGTGCCTGTGTAGCCTCTGTTGAAGGGGTGTGTTAGATTTCACATTGACGAAGCTTGGACTATTTTTCCTCTATATGTTATGATCTAACGGGCTTTCCCGTATTCTTATATTTGGAAATCATTTTAATCTGTTCTTATTTTGGAAATGAAGCATGGTATTGATTCTAAACACTTGTAATTTTCTTTCAGGTTGAAGAAGCCGTTGAGGTGTATCACGATGACGAATACAGAAGCAGAAGATGGTTCTTCGGGTCGCACAACTTCTCTCTTTCGGTGATTTGGTCTCCTTTTCTTACGAAAGCTAAGATATTTGAGGACAATGACGGGCATTCCTCGGGTGCGATTGAGCTCCATCTCGATGAGCTCAACTCGGTTTGGGTCGATGAATTCAGTAACTTCGATTACATCATGATCGCAGGTGGAAAATGGTTCTTGAAAACCGCGGTATACTACGAAAACAACACGATCATCGGGTGCCATAACTGTAACAAAGCGAACTTATCGGAGGTCGTGCTTGATTACGCATATCGGAAAGCACTCCATACGACTCTAGACTTTATCACGAGATCGAACCACAAAGTCTACGCGTTTTTCCGGACAACAACCCCCGATCACTTCGAGAACGGGGAATGGAACACCGGAGGGTATTGTAACCGGACAGTTCCATTCAAAGACGGTGAGATTGACATGAGGGATATTGATACGATTATGAGAGATATCGAGTTGGAAGAATTTGCGAATGCCAAAGCGGCTACGAACGGGTCGGTTTTGAGATTGTTCGATACAACTCGTTTGTCGTTGTTGAGGCCCGACGGTCACCCGGGCCCTTACCGCGCTTTCCATCCGTTGGACGGAAAAATTGGAAATGCAGAAGTTCAAAATGATTGTTTGCATTGGTGCTTGCCGGGGCCGATAGATTCATGGAACGACTTAATGATGAATTTATTGGTCCGTGGTGAACGAATATAAAAACAATAACGAATTTAAGTCTCTCAAATTGTTGTCCATAGGGCCAAAAAATTTGATTAATTTCTCATGTTCAATTTTTGTGTTTATTTTTTATATTTTAGGAGAATGCACACAACATGTTGAATATCCAGATTAATAAAAAAAATGTATTTATGTTTTATAGAGATTGATAAGTAGAAATTTTGATGAGTTGATTTATCAACATATTTTTGTTTTCCTTATGAATTTTATAAATAACTCATGTATAAAGGTCTTTTTTAACTCCAACTATTATCGTTCTAATGGGTTTCGAAATGCTTAAAGACATTCTCCATTTCTTGATCGGATTGGTGTGAGGTCAAGGCCTTGACGGGTAATCTTTGTCGTCACTTAGTTGTCTCCGATTTTTTTGTGTGGTTTCGGTTTTTCGAGTGACTTTCGACTCATTTAACTTATTCAATTAAGTTTCATCCATTTCGAGTCTTTGAAAACGTAATACAACTTCAAAAGATTAATTTGTACGTAAGTGTTGCATTACGCGTTTGTAGTTACGGAAATGGTTTTTGGACAAATGCAATAAAGATGTTGAAAATGTTTTATGGTTTTGTGCATAGGACAAAACGATTTTGTTCATATTCAAGAGAACGAGTTGTGACTTGGGAGTTATACTTTTATGACTATGGATTGACGAAGTGTTTCATCAAATATATATCATGTCTCATAAACCATCCATTCTCGTATCTTAAATTATGAAACATACGATCAAAAGTCAAGTGACGAAAATCAAATTTTCGTAAACCGTAAGGACGATTTTTGTAATTTTTTCTAAGACTTGTTTTCATTGAGGGTAAATTAGCTAAGAACATCTCTGACACTTTTTTCTATATTTTGAATTCCTAATTTTTTCAAAATATAGAAAAAAGTAAAATGTTTAAAAATGTGTTATGTCCATTTCAAAAAGTTTTTCTAGTTTTGAAGCAACAAAAGTTAAGACTTTGACAAACCTAAGGATGGATATAAACTAACTTAAGGGTTGTTCGGTAACAACTTATTGAGCTATATAACATATATTGCTGATTCGTACAGTCATACCTATGTGTTTGGTAAGACCTTAATCGTTCAAACAAGGGCTGATTCGCTTAGCTTAAAAACCATACTCCTACCCACTTAGCCGTTAAATTGCATTTACTTTTCCCAACTACCCCTCTTCCCTCTTCATCATCAATCCCATCTTCTAGGCTTCTGAATTGAAATCTCCAACTCCATCGTTAACCTGATCTAGTAAAGTAGTCTTCTTCCTGCTTGACTCCTCCCTCAACTCAATCATAAATCACAATTGGAGCTTCACTACATAATTCCAGATTTTGTTTGTTTCCTCATTAGCTTTCAATCATAATCTTATCTTTTTGACTTTTTAAATTGATTACCAAGTTATAGATGCCAAATCGAGCCTCAAACCTCAGTAGAAAAACCAAAATCAAAATCAAAATATCAAGTTAAGAGCTCTCAGATATGTTCTTCATTCTTGACACCACTGTCTTCTTTGATTACTGGAACATCATTCGCTTCTCCCTTTCTGCATCCATGGCATCAACAATATTGAATGTCGTTGTGGTTGTGATGATGACAGCGGTGGCTATTGCATCTGTACTAACCAGAGCAGCCTCTGGTCTCATCAAATTCAACCATAAGTTCAAGACAAACCAGAGCCCCTCTGGACCACTTTAATCAATGCAAAAATATATTAAGATAGCCAACTTAAAAGTATTGGCTAACCAGAAACAAGCCAATAAAAAGACATGGCCAAACAGAGGCCCTCTAGATGACTAGAGTCTCTGGTTCGCTTAACCAGAAATGAGTTATACTTAGAAAAATGAACTTTAAATATGACCAGAGGCCCTCTAGTTAAATGTGCAGATCAACCAGAGCCCCTTTAGTTCATTTGCCAAAGACACTTAGAAGGAATCCACCCAAAGCCAAAGCCAACCAGAGGCCCTCTGTACGACCAGAGCCCCTCTGGGTGAACCATATTTTGGGCTTCTAAGTGTTGATATAAAACAAGATTTGAAATTGGTTAATCAAAAAGGAATAAAAGTTCTTGGTACTAAGAGCCCAGATACAAAATTCGAACATAGCTTAGATACAAAGCTTAAAGACAGATCTTGAACATATAGCTCAACTTCCAAATACAGAGCCTCTGGTTCAAGATAAGTTGAACATATTGAAAAGATCAAAGTCCCAAACATAACCAGAGGCCCTCCGGTTTAACATGAAGACCAACCAGAGCCCCTATGGCCATTAAACATTTCTTTTTATCACATCTATAGGATGCGAAAACCTGAGTCATCAAATCACACAAATACGATAACTTAAGATCATCACCTCATAAGAATGTGATAACAAAACCCATGACCAAAAGATCATCATTTCCAAAATAGATTATATCACCCTTATTACCAATGTATGCAACTCATTGATATGCTACCCTTATTACAACACATCATGATATAATCATGATCAAAACCACCTTTTTACCAAAAATGGCAACCAAAACTGTTTCAAAACATAAACTTATATAAAGAACCTTATAGTTTTATACCAGATTTACCATCAAAGTCATACATCTTTCAAGAACCTATTTTATCATCTTCCCACATAAAAACCATACGGTTCCATGTTTCAAACACCCAATAAAGAAAATTGATAACATAAACTCACATTTTTCACGTATTTGAAGATGAATTCACACAGCAGCAACTTCAAATAAAATCACATAATCAACTTCTTCTTTTATCTCATAGGAAAACACACAAAAAGGTTTTTCTTTCTCTCCAAAAACAGTAATAATATAAGACGAGTCTTATCTATTACCTTTATACCACCATAATTAATTCATAGGCAGTGGAGTTTATTATTTATAGAACTCATCATTTCACATTTCCCCATGAGATAAAACAAATATCTCATGTTAACAATCATAAATTATAAAAGGCGGTGAGAATATTTAATCACTTATGCACATTCACAATTAAAGCCCCTTAACTTACCATCAACTTAAAAATAAAACCACCCCAAACTTTAATATTAAATACCTGGTTATCACATGTACTTACGACAACTTTTCTTATAAATCGAACTCCCTCTAAAATGTTGGGTAATATCACTCCTTATGAGTTGTTATTTCAAAAACCACCTGATCATTCCATGATTCGTGTGTTTGGTTGTCTGAGTTTGGCATCAACCTTGATATCCAACAGACACAAATTTTCTCCCAGAGCTACACCGTGTGTATTAGTTGGGTTTCCTACTCACATGATTCAATTAGATGTCAACAACGCTTTCTTTGATGGGGACTTAGATGAAGAGGTTTATATGAAGACACCTCAAGGGCTATCTATGCAGGAGGCGCCCAACATGGCTTGTAAACTTTACAAGTCCATTTATGGCCAAAAGCAATCATCGAGACAGTGTGATATGTGTTGAGAATTTAACACATAAAGCACTCATTTTACGTCTTTTTATTTATAATAATTTCTTTTTATTCCCACTTTGAGTCATTTTCATTTATTTCTTTATACATTTGTTATTATGAAGCTAAATATTGTGGTTGACTTGTTGGTATGCTTGGATAAAGATAATAGAGAGTTTTTGTGAAAACAACAGATGCTGCAGCATTGGTGCAACGTCGATCTGATTCATGCGCAGCTTTTTGGAGGGCTTAATGGATAAGACGCTGACTTTTTGGAAGGTGGAAGACAGCTGTAAAAGCTGGGTTTTTATTGAAAAATATGATGTTAGACTTTGGTTAGGCCTTTGTACTTTTTAGTTACTCTTTTGTTGGGTTGTAACTTACTTTTGGATACTTAGCCTCTAAGTCTTTTATTTTTGTCTTCTAGTGACCAATTTTGAGTATAAAAAGAAGGTTTGGGGTGCCTTCTAAACCATCCATTACTCCTACTTTCATCCATTCCATTTGCTAGTATCGTAAACCCTCTCCAAGGGTGGTTTTAATTAAGCTCTTGAAGTTCTTCATTTTTTTCTTCATTTACATTCTCGTCTTTTATTTTCCGTCATTTACATTCTCGTCTTTTATTTTCTCGTCATTTACATTCTCGTCATTTACATTCTCGTCATTTACATTTCCGCTATTTACATTCTCGTCATTTACATTCCCGTCATTTATTTTCTCGTCATTTACATTTCCGTCATTTATTTTCTCGTTATTTACTTTACGCAATTTACGTTTATGTCTTTATTTTTCGTTATTTATTTTTTACTTTCTGTTATGAGTAGCTAAGCTTTTATAGCTTGGGTGTAAGACGAAAAGGTGAGATTTTCAAACCAAACCAAACGAAAGTAGCTAAGTGTTTCGTAAACGACATTTCATTGTTTCATTCGAGTTTTTATAAAACCAAGCACACTTCTTGACGGGTTGATCACTTGAAAGTGTTAAAGTGCGATGGACTTAGAGATAAACCATCAATAAGCACGTCAACTTGGATGACATAAGAGGTAGACTTGAGAAAGTTGCCGACAAGGAGACTTGTCATTTATGTTTTTCAAAACTTAACTCCTGACGGGTTGGTCGCTCTTCAAAAGTGTCAAAGTGTGATAGATTCAGAGATGAACTATCAAGAACACACCAACTCGAATGATATGAGAGTTGACTCGAGAGAGTGATTTTTAACAAAGAGATTTGTTTATCCATATATTTTGAAAACACTATCGTGTCACTATCCCCGGTCCGGACACCACATAGAGATATGGGTGGAAAGCTATAAAATAGTGCAATTGTGAAGTCCGAGAGGAATGCCTTCAAAATAGATGGTGGAACTTAGTTCGAAACACTGCTTGCTGTAGCATTCCTATAGCATTGGCTGCTGGAATTTGTGTTTGGGTCTCACCTTAAGTCTTACACCCTTGCTTCTTTTATATATTATGTATTCTGTTTTGGATCGCCTTAAAATCAAACAAAAGTCTTCAAAATCTTCATCTGAAATCATCTCTTTCATTGGACTCTAATCTAACTTTGGCTACAATGCCTGTGGACGATAATCTGGTACTTGTACCACTTTATTATTTGGAAAGATGACATTGGGTCGTATTGTATACTTGCTTTGTGGCCTAATTTCATTAGTCTAAAGGTGTGAAATATAACCGACCACAGTGATATGCTAAATTTTCTGATTTTCTCATGAGTATTGGATTTTTGTTCAATCCAAGGCTGATTATTCCCTTTTCCATTAAAGGTATATAGATGGTGATTATGTGGCTCTTCTTGTTTATGTAGATGACATCATTTTCATAGGACCTTGTATAATGGTGGTTGAAGATGTTAAAGTTCAGTTGAGCAATCGTTTCAAGTTGTGCGAGTACTAGAAGATCAACAACTCGTGTCCTGGAAGTCTAAACGCCAACCAATTGTATCCCGATCATCTACCGAGGCCGAGTAAACATTAAATTTAAACAAGAATTTAATTCGATATTTGCTTAATGTTTAAATAATTTCAATCAAATTTATGATCTTCGAATGAAAGCTTTATTTATTTTCTCGTGGCCGTCATTATCACCATTAGGTGGATATCCACAAAAATACCCTTATTTAAAAGATCATACGTCACATTCATGGATTTAGTCATTTCATTGTAAGGAGAAATATTTGAATTTCACTCCATCCTATTTTTTAAAACAACCATGCCATTTTAGAGGCTTTACGTAAAAACTTAAATGTGACCGTATATTATTTTTCGAGTTATATTATTTATTAATTTTTATTAAATTCAAAAATATTTTTAGTTTATAATATATGTAGAAATATAGAATAATTATAAACACAATTCGATTATAAATCAAAGTGACTTTAAATATGTTAAATTTAATGTTCATAAATTTTCTATGATTAATATAAAGTAAATTAGTAACAAAATTAAAATAATCAATGTATAATACATAACACATAATTTAATAGTAGTGAACATAAGTGATTTTCATTATTAACCTGGATATCCAACCCGCTATGTGCCCGACTAATCCCAGTGTGACCACCTGCTTTGCAGATAGTCCGAAGTCATCGCATTTGAACCTTCGTGGCCACAAGAGGATTTTTTTATTTCTCCTTGGATTTGAACATAAGACCTTCTGGTACTTTTGATCTTTAGAGCCAAGCTCAAACCAATCTTTGTGGTTCATAAGTGGTTTTTTATATTCATTAGAAATCAAACACAAACATTTATCGCAATTAAAATTTTAAAAAGTTTTGGAAATGATTAAGAAAAATATAGAAATAATCAACGACCAAAATAAATTCTAAAATTTTCATTAAATAATCAAACAAACTTCATAGAAGCAAATCATCAAAAAATAAAATAAATAAATAAAAGCATTAAATTTTACGGTGATAGCAACATTTTATTTTTGAGGATGTTGAATTTTGGATGATATTTTAAAGAACGAAATCATAACTCAATAAATAAATAAGAAATAAAGGAAATAATTAAATTTTAAGTTATCTTTATTTAAAAACAAAGCACCTAATAATAAAGGAAATCACTAAAAAAATGTACAATTACGTTTTTTTAAAGTTATCTTTTTTAATGTATAATAAGTAAACTTTTATTTAAAAAAATTAAGAAATTATGATAATGGTATTTATATTTTGATCATATTAAATATAAAAAATCAAAAATAAATCAGAGGGCCTCGATGATCATACGCCCTTGAGACGACACCACCAACGCTACACTTTCAAAGCCGATCCTGAAAATAAGTTGTAAAGTAACCACCTCATTTAATGTATCCGTAATTTATTCCAAATTTATACTCTATATATAATATATTTTCCTCACATATAATTTTATTATTTATTTATATTTAAAGAAATAAAAAATAAATTTAAATAAATGGTATTTTGGTTTTTTTCTTCTTCATTATTTCATTTGAATTCATAAGTTACAAATGATAAACCAAACAAACATTCATTTAAAAGGTTACATTTAATTTCTTGCTAACGAAACATTTGGTGATAATATTTCATTCCGATTACTTTTAACACTTTTCATTCAAAATGTGGCTATCTTTATTAGGGGTGAGCAGCGGAACCGGGTACCTATTTATGGAACCGGAATTGCCTTGAAATTGCCGGTTCCGGAATTGATATGAGTGGTTCCGGTTTTTAAAATACGGAACCGATTGAGAATGGTTCTGGTTCTCAATTTTTCGGAACCGTTACTCGCCGGGACCGGTTCCGGGACCGGGTACCCTAAACCGGAACCGGCAGGTACCCGGTATTTTTCAATTAAAAAAATAAATAATTTTTTTAATACTAAATTTAAATTAGGTCAAGAACTTGGAACTCTAGATTCAGAATTTGAGATAAAATGATTCATATTTTTTCAAATTGTGTGTTTAATTGGATTCGTAGTATGTAATTGTTAAATTTTGAACATTTACAATTATAGTATGTAGTCATTAAACTTTCAACATTTACTATTAGTCTATTATGGTTTGTAATCGTTAAACAATATTTGTAACAATTATTCCATATAATTTGTATTCATGTTTATTTATTTAGTGTTTTGACAATGTTTTATTTTTTATTTCTAAATAACAAAATTTAATATTTTAGGAAGCGAATATCCGGAACCGGAACCGGTTCCAAAAATTCAAGAACCGCTCTAACCGGTTCCGGTTACTGCCAAATAGGGCGGATACCCGGCTATCTTGACCCCTAATTTTATTTTTATGAATACCCCTATATATATTTATTATGTATGTTGTGTATATAAATAATATTTAATATAAATGGGTGATTTTTTTAGAGTCCTTGTCCGTACAAACCCTTCCTTATTCTCTCTCTATATATATATAGATCTGTTCAAACATAACACAAAAAAAGACTCTGAACCCTTTGATCAGCCACTTTTTCTCCCTTGTGTTCTGAATGGAAAAAGCACCCCATCTAGCCATTCTACCCAGCCCAGGCATGGGTCACCTCATCCCATTGGTTCAATTTGCCAGACGACTCATCCTAAGAACCCAACACAATCTCTCCATCACCTTCATCATCCCAAATGATGGTCCTCTATCCAAATCCCAATCTGCATTTCTTGATTCACTTCCAAAACCCATAACCTATCTCCTCCTCCCTCCTGTCAATTTCGACGATTTGCCTCCCGATGCCAAAATCGAGACCCGAATCAGCCTCATGGTCACCCGATCCCTCCCTTCGCTTCACCAAATCTTCAACACCTTAATTGCAGATAAAACCATTGTTGCTTTGTTTGTTGATCTGTTTGGGACAGACGCCTTTGATGTTGCCATTCAGTTCGGTGTCCCCACTTATATTTTCTTTCCAGCATCAGCCATGACTTTATCTCTGTTGCTTCATTTGCCAAAACTTGATCAAATGGTTTCTTGCCCGTTTAGGGACTTACCCGACCCGGTTCAGATACCCGGGTGCATACCGATTTATGGTAAAGACCTTCTTGACCCTCTTCAGGATAGGAATAATGATGCATACAAATGCCTTTTGCATAATGCAAAGAGGTATATGATGGCTAAGGGTATTGTGGTAAACAGTTTCAAGGAGTTGGAGGGTGGAGCCATTGAAGCTTTACAAGCGGAGCAACCGGGTAAGCCGCCGGTTTACCCTGTTGGTCCCTTGATACAAACTGGGATGGCTGAGTCAAGTAGGGATGTAGACAAGTCTAACTCTTTAAAATGGTTAGATGGTCAGCCATGTGGGTCTGTTTTGTACATATGTTTTGGGAGTGGTGGGACCCTTTCTTCTGATCAAGTCACTGAGTTAGCTATGGGTTTGGAGTTGAGTGAGCAGAGGTTCCTTTGGGTGGTTAGAACCCCAAACGATAAAGTAACCAATGCCACATACTTCAATGCTCATAGCCATGAGGACCATTTTGACTTTTTGCCAAAAGGGTTCTTGGAAAGAACTAAAAATCAAGGGCTTGTGGTGCATTCATGGGCACCACAAGCCCAGATCTTGAGCCATGGTTCCATCGGTGGGTTCTTGACCCACTGCGGTTGGAGCTCCACTCTTGAGACCATAGTTCATGGTGTACCGATCATTTGTTGGCCATTGTATGCCGAACAAAAGATGAATGCACAAATGCTGACAGTGGGTTTGAAGGTTGGGTTGAGGGCTAAGACGAACGAAAGTGGGATCGTGGATCGTGTAGCGGTTGCTGGGGTTGTGAAGGGCTTATTTGAAGGAGAAGAAGGAAAAGGGATCCGGATCCGGATTCAAGAGCTTAAAGAAGCAGCGGCGAATGTGCTGAGCAAAGACGGGTATTCTACGAAGACGCTTGATCAGTTAGCTTCGATCTTGAAAAACGATGTTTAGTTGAAGTTCATATAATGTCATATGTTGAAAAGTAAGGTTAAGTGCTCAAATCTTAATAAAGATTTTTGGTAGTTTTAGAAATTTCAATATTGTACTCATTTTTTACTGATAACCTGTTGATCTTGTAACATTTGATGACGTAGATGTTCTTTTACGAAAGGCCTAGAAATGTTTATAAAAAATTGTAGTAAAATAAATGATAAACTTAGCATCCATGTCATCAAATGTTCCAAGATGAACAAATTACAAACGTCCATCATTGTAATGCTCCATGTATGAATCATATCATCAATTTTTAACATTTGTCATTGTAATGCTCCATGTATCCAACAAGCGCCACGTGGGCATCTTTTTTTAATTTTTTAAACGTCATTCATTGTGCAACCGAGAACACGTACCCAACACCACAAATATTGCTTATTGCTGAAAATGACATAATATGGATGTAATTTCTATCTATTTTCGTACATTACGTGGTCGAGGTGTTTGTGGTTCGATTTGGACGATTTTATCCTATCTGATCGTAAACCAAATTGTAACGATAGTTTTGAAAAAAAATTCAAAACAAGCAATTTGGCAGTAAGTGACTAAATCGGTTAAACTGGACCACAAAAATACGGTCTGATCTGACTAATTTAAACAGTTTGTGCCTTTTATGAGCTTTAAACTAAAAAAAACATAACATTAATATCAAAAATGAATTTTCTATAGATATAACAAAAGAGGTTACTGAATCGGCACTGGTAAAAATCCGCAAGCAGGAGAACTGTTATTAAAAGATGTTATTTCGAATTTTAAAAGAAACATTTGTATCTAAAATTTAAGAAAAAATATTGATCAAATTGAAAAAAAGTTAAATAAGTACACCAACAGTAATTGGAGTTTTGAACAAACATTGACCAAGTCGAAGGACGATTTAGAATTTTGGATTGATTTGTGACGGATTTCGAATTTTGTCAATTTAGATAACTCGGTCGATTGAGAAATGAAAATCAAAAGCATAATGTCTTGGAAGAACTTTTTTTTAATTACATGAAAATTAAATATAATTAATACATGTGCATTATTGGCAAACTTATTACTTTCCGATCCAATCTGCTCTGAAGATACGAATAAAAAAATTCGAAAGTTCTTCTTTGTGGCGATAATATCAAAATACCAAGTTGGCTCCCTACAGTATCGTCACCGCAGTAGAGTTTAACCACCAAGTTTGGGAAGGAATCATTATAAATCTTGATAATTGATAAAGTTTCCTACTTATACATTAGAGAACCAACAAGAAATTTCATTAATCACTGGCTGTTTTGATTCTTTGGCACGCTAAATGGTCCTAAGGGCAGCGCTCCTTGGCGGTGGTCCCGCTGAGAGGCCTTAAGCTATTGATCAACCAATCGTTGAAGGAGTCTTCAGCTATAGCTGAAGATGCATGTTCCAGAACTTAAATTCGGTTGTAACTATTTTTTGATCTTATCAATTAACGATTATAACCGTTCAACCGTCGATCTCTCCTTGAAATATGTAAAACGAGAATATGGGTATATATCTCGTTTTTCACAACCTTTGGAAGATAGAGATTAACCTCAAGAATGATCCAATATGAAATTCGTGAAACCAAATTATTGTATTTAAAAAGTGTTTTCCGACACGATTCTTAAATTTTATCCAGTAATCCCTGAAACTTTTCATATCTCATGATGAAAAATAAATACATCCTAATTCACATTTTTGCAACGAAAATAATCAATTAGAGGTGCAAAATCAGCAAGTTGGATGGATTAATAAATGCATGATTTGATTTTTATATATTTTGTACTTGTTATAATCGGGTTTACGATTATAAAAGTTTGGGGTTGTTTTGAATAAATGTAAAAGTTGAAGGATGAAATGTTAACAATCGAAATGAAAGTTTAAAAAGAAAGCCCACTGCATCTTTTATAAAATAACTAAAAGAGTACTTATATAATGAAACGAGATACATTTTTATTTTAATGTTTTGTTTTGTTTTTTGTTTCTTTTGATGTAATATGGTTTTTGTGATTCTGAGAAACATAATGTTTACATTTTGAATAAAAATAAATTTAGAGATATCATAAAAATTTGAAAAAATATATCGATATTAATATCAAATTTATTATTTAAAAATACACGGCTTTTTCTACAATTTTTTTAATTCAAAATTTTATTATAATTTAATTTAGTTTTAATAGCGAAGTAATTTATTTTTGGCTTATCAATATAATTTTTATAAAGATAATGATTTTGCTAGAACTTAATGATTATCTTAATTATCTTTTAGATTTCTTATATTTAAAATAAAATGTTTATCATGTATTTGATTATGTTTATCGGCAGTTAGTTGTATGAATTCAAAATGGAGCTTTAATAAATTATACTTATGCACAATTTACTTGTAATTTTAAATTTTAAGTAATATGAATTAATAAATATTACTTCATGCATAAAGAATAGTTTTTAAGAGTTTTGTCAATGTTTTATAATATAGTGTAGATATATGTGTGGAGATATTATTGCGTTCATTCTTGGTTTTTGTTGGATAAGAAAAAAGAAAAAAAGTTGATATACCATTTTTACTCCCTGGTTCAAGCAGAAAGAAGAAAAAAGAAGGATTGATTAAGTGTTTTTAACTGTTTTGCTGTTGAATTTAAAGTCCTCATCTATGTGAGGTTACAAGGTGAGTTTTATTTTAAAAGCATCATTTAGTTTTTTTTTTTGGTGAAGAAATCGTAGGGTTTCATACATGATATTTGAATGTGATATATGCTACTATTAGCAAAATTTTGGGTTTTGATATGATATCATTTGATTGTAATAAGGGTGACACAATCAGAATATATGTATTTTTGGTAATAAAGGTGGCATAATCAGGACATGGGTAATTTTGGTAATAAGAGTGACATAATCAGAAGTTGAGTATATCTTTGTAATAAAGGTGACATAATCAGGAACTGGGTATATTAGGATAAGGGTGCATAATCAAATTCTGAGAATGATGATCTATTGACCATAAGATTCTGTTATCGCATCATTTGATGCAATAAATGTGATTTTTATCGCATCAGTATGATACGATGAGTTGTGATTATCACATCTATATGGTGCGACAAGTGTGTTTATCGCATCTATTGATGTGATAAGTTGGGGTGATCACATCTGTTGGATGCGACAAATGGTGGTTATCGCATATTTGTGATGCGATAAGATTAGGTTATCGCATCAATAAGATACGAGAAAATATTATCACATCCTTGAGGTGCGACAAAAAGGTTACCGTATGTGTATGATGCGACAAAAATGTGTCATTGCCTCAGTGTGATGCAATAAGTTGGTGTATTACAAATGAGATGTTGACATCTTGATTATTTGTTTATTTGATGCGATAAGATGAAGTTGTCTCATCTATATGATATGACAAAAAGATTTATTTTAATAAAACACTGTTTATTTGTTATTAATACAAATATGGACTTTATAAAAATGTTTTGGTGATTTTCACCCTGTAATAACATTCAAAAGGGATTTTTCTCACTAGACCTTGCGGTCTAACTCTCATTTGTGTTTTAATATGTGCATTACAAGTCGGACATATTTGAAGGACAAGAGAAAAGGGGAAATGTGAAGTAAATTATGATCGGTTTACGTATGTGGATTTTTGGAAGCTGTTATGTTACATGTACTTGATGTAAATGGAAAAAATTTTGTAGTTACTTTTGTAATGTAGCAATTTGTACATTGGGACGAATGTATAATTATTTGAATTTCATGTTACATTAAATATGTGGGTTATATGCAAATGTGAAACGAGGTATTAAATGTAATGTTATTATATGATGGAAAAGACATAGATATTAGTAATCATCTAATTAAAAAACACGAGTAATATAAAATATTGATGATTGGGCCTTGTATTGGGCTAATAAGTAAATGGGCTTAGACCCAAACAATATTCTAAATAAAATAATTTTGAAAATAAGTAATATTTTATTCATTTAAAAAAGTAAATCATATGCATCATGGGGTAGGGCTGTAAACGAACCGAACGAACACGAACGGAGGCTTATTCATGTTCGTTCGTTTAACTTAACCGAACAAACGAACAAACACGAACGAAAATCTTTGTGTTCGTGTTCGTTCGTTTAGAAATAAGGTGTGTTCGTGTTCGATTATGTTCGTTCGTTAACATGCTAAACGAACATAAATGAACAAGCTAAACGAACATAAACGAACATTATTTGAATTCAAAGTAAATAAATAAAAGATTATATATTAAATTTAATTTATAAACGAACGAATATAAACGAACGTAAACGAATGGTAAATGAACGAACGTTCACGAACATAAATGAACGAACGTTCACGAACATAAATGAACGAACGAGACTCTTGTTAATGTTTGTTCGTTTAACTAAACGAACAAAAAAGTTCATGTTCGTTCATTTATTAAATGAACGAACATAAACGAACTTTCAACCGAACGGTTCACGAACGGTTCGATGAACGTTCGATTCGTTTACAACCCTAATCATGGGAAAGCTGTTTATCAAAATTAGTTTGAATTATAAAATATAAACGCTTATCGAGTGACTGTATTACGACTTACGAGATGTTACTTATCTTTCGAGTGAGTATAACAATGTCCTGGAAACACATTCTAAAAGGCATAATAATGATCGAGAATCTTGTKTAGTAAGTGAGAGAGATGACTCTTATTCGATAAGTACTTATTGAATAAAAGACGCTTACGAGCAATACTATAATGTTACCCGATAAGGTAAATGAAGCGGTAAACGCTTTAACTGATAAATATTTAATAAACAAACCCTAAATATATAAAGTGATGTTTGAAAACAAAAACCTCATAAATTATAATTGATTTTATCAACTATATTTATAGTAATTATATATGGTTGAATTTGAAGAAAAACAATTTATGAATGAAATTTGTATAATTAACTGCAGATAAACATAATCAAATATATGGAAAACATCCATTTTAAACATTGAAAATCTAAAATATAATTAAGATAATCATTGAGTTCTAACAAAATGTTTAATTATTATCATTATAAAAAATTATATTATTAAACCAAAAATAAATTATTTTGTTATTAAATCTAAATTGAATTATAATAAAAAATTGAATTAAAGAACTTATACCAAAGAAACGAGAACTATTAAATAGTTAATTTCATATTAATATCGATTTGTTTATTTTCAAAATTATATGCAAATTTGTATTTCATTCAAAAATAAAAACATTATCGATTTCTCAAAAACACATAAAATTGTATTAAATCTATAAAGATAAAGAATAAAAACTAAACATTAAAATCGAGATTTATCTCGCTGCATTGCGCGAGTACCCATCTAGTAGTAGTAATAATAATAATAATAATAAAATATGCATAAATCTGCAAAGTTTTATATAAGTCGTTACAACTTGTAAAAAGGTATTAAAAAACCTACCTTCTTCTCCGGCCAACACTACCCAAATTCAAACACAAATAAAAACCACAATCAAACCAGTTTGAAACACAACTTCAAACGGGAAATTAAAATCAGAGCCGTAAATATGAACCCGGATTCAAACATAATTTCAAGAACTATCTCATTAGGATACAAAATTAAAATCAAAACCTATTCATTATCGCAAATCATGTTTTACAACCAAAATAAAAGCAGAAACCAATTACAATTCGATAGAAAAGTTTAATCAAAACCGTATCGACAAAGATCATCATATCGACTTCGGTTTGTTTTGACCAGATCAGGCGTAAGCTCATTGATCTGTCTTTTTCCACACTGGTACTAAACACGTTAAGACGAAAAGATATGATCTTACGCATGAATAAATGGGTTGGACTAACCCGTCAATTTCGTCATCGAATCAAAATTTGTTTCGATTAAAATAAGAGCTTTTTAGCAAACAATATCATTTCTTTTATGACAAAAACCAAATGAAGTTAAGATTATTCCCATATATTCAACAAAAATATAATTATATTAATCAATCAACAATAGTTTCAACCATATTTAGCTCATTAAAAAAGATATAAATTCATTTTTTTAAAATTAAAAACATTATATTTTACATTGTCAATGACATTAATATTTATAATTAGTATTCTTGATTTTATTTATTTATTTTTCATCCATTTTTATTTATTATATGATGAAAATTATATCTTTTTTTTATTAACCTGGATATCCAACCCGCTATGCGAGCCGACTAATCTCATGACGACCACATGCTTTGCAGATAGCCCGGAGTCACCGCATTTGAACCTATGTGGCTACAAGGGGATTTTTATTCGTCATTAGATTTGAATCTGGGACCTCCTGGTACTTTTGACCTTTAAAGCAAAGCTCAAACCAATCAAACACCACCCCTATGGTTAATTATATCTTTTTATGCTTAATAATAAACAGATTTATTGGAGGAACGATAGTTGTATGGTCACACCACCACCAAACGCATGATTACTTTTGGAATGCTGAAATGCAAACACCATGTGGTTGATGTAAAATGAACCAAACTTTTTTCAAAACCATAAAATTATTATTATATTTATATCTACGTAAATAAAAAAATCTACAGTTATATACAAGATTTACCTGTCAATACTTCAACGACCCAAGATAAAGAAAACGAGTGCTCTTATGAGCGGTATTTGCGTCCGCCTTTCAAATTGCAAAAAACATACAACGGTTGTTGATTCTTCAAACGGTCGTGCCTTGTTTTGGTTTCACCATCCATTGCTTCAATTTGCTATCTTCTTTTCCATCATCGGTGGCATCCATGTGTCAAGTCTTTTCGACTTGTCGTGTTCTTTCTTCCACTCGAGAGCATACGTGTTTCTAAGTAGAACCCTCTCGCTTACGCATGTCCTCAATAATTTTTTCGTTATGGTCATTAGAAACCTCAATTTTCCGATTATAGTAATGATTTCAACCTAATGGTTGCACATGCAGTCCATATTTCAAACTTTGGCCAATTTTGTCATTCTTTCAACCACCCATGATTTCAGAGATTGGTAACACGTTGGCTGGATTTCATGTTAGAAACTTAGACATCGTGAATTATGACTCTGGTTGGATATTTTCCCAGCATTGGCATTGACGATGCAACGAGGAAATGTGTTGGTTTTTGAATTCAGAATGCTCCATGGCAGTGACAATGATCAAGAACCGTTGTTGCCTCAATCAGGGTTTTGTTTGGTTGTTTAAATTTTATTATCTTGTATTTATCAGATCTTTATTTCAGTTATGGTCTAATTATAGTAACAAGTGTCAGTTGTTGGTTAGTTAATAATACTCTTTTATGCTAGTTAACATTTTTATTTCAATACCGTAACGACGTAAACATCGTTGACTGTTGTTCCGTCATATCCTGGTACTACCTTTATAATATCGACCATTTCAGTATGCATTTTCCTCGCAAAATGTTTATCGAATAAACAAAAACATTAAACAACTGAAATTTTAATTTTTTTTTCATTTAAAACTGAATTTGGGCTAACCAAACATTTGTAGACAATAAATAGGAATAGATTAGGGGCCTGCAACAAAGATTGAAAGAGACATCAATTATAGACCACCATCAAAATGGCCTTCACATGATGGGATGTTGACAATTGTGTATCTGATATTTACATGGTCTCTCTTTTCTTCTCTTTTATATCAGAATCAGATTAAATCATGCATATAAAATTATATCAGAAACTAAATCATATATTTAAAAATGTAAAATTAAATATACAGTATATCAAACAAATCCAGTAAATCTGATGTAAAAAATAAGTAGGAAACCAGTTTCTACAAAAAGGAATGTGAAAATGCATTTCTTGATAAAGTGGACACACCAAAAATCACACGGGTTAGTGTTATAAGTTGGACATGATTACACAAGATGTAGCAACTGTATAACGTAATTCTCGTGTAACACCGAATCCGCAACAAAAAACAACGAAATTAGATCGAAAAATACGCATGAACGAGCCAAGTTAGGGTGAGATTTCAAGTCTGGGCTCGAAGCAGAATCCCGAAAACAGTTGAAGCGGAAACCTTTTCGTAACCGGGCATTTTTGCGACCATCTCCATTGTTTCTTCTTCAAATCGAACACCAGAAGAGCCGGTGCACCGTAGCTCTGAATGTAGATCAGATCGTCGGTCCCACTGCTTGCAAAAACGTCATCCAACTCGCCGAACCCTTGGAAGAACTTGTGCGGCATTCGGCCGACTTCTCGCCATTCTTTCCCGTCTTCAAGAACCCAAATCCCGATCCCGATGATGATATCCTGTCGATCTTGTTTCCCGATCCCGCCCACCATCACTAATGAACCTTTAAGGTTCATCAACCGGCCGCACGTAAGCGAGCATGGAACCGAGACAAAATCCCGTGTCAAAACATTCCGTGACGATGATGATGACGACCGGCTGGAAAGATTGCAACTCACGAGCCCGTGTCGGTGTTCTTGAAACGACCCGATCGAGTAAATCAAGAAATACAAAACCCCATTACAAATCACGCTCTCGTCGCCACCTCTCCATCCCATCAACATCTCGGTCACGATCGTCGTCCACATCATCGTCACCGAGTCGTACACGTGGACCGAGAGGTCCCACTGGAGGTAATTCTCAGGGACTTGACGAGATTTGACAACAGTCACGGTGTAGTTTGTCGAAATACGGTCGACCGAGATCGCGAGGGCGCTATAGTCGCAAAACCGCAAACCAGGCGGCTCGCGGAGGCGAAAACAGCATTTGGTTATGAGATTACAGACGTAGAGCTCGCTCCGGCTATCGTTATCCATGAAACATACCAAGCCAGAAGACGAAGCTATGAACCATCTTGAGGTTTTCACCATGTATGGCAGCTCGATCCCGTACCATTTTCGTAGGACGGGATCGTACGCATATCCAATCGGTTCATCAGAGCTCGTAAACATGAAATACCACGGTTTTTGGGATAAAACTGGTGATACGTTCCATAAAAACCGTCTTGAACTCACGATTTCATGCCATCTTTTACACACACAACCTACCCGAAAGATACTTGCGATAGGGAGATAAGCTACGATTCGTTCTAACAAGTCATCCGGAAGGATTAGATCGACCGAAATTACGGGTGAATTGTCCTTATTAACCTCATCATTGACCTCCGCGAACGAATCAAAATCCTCATTGTCTTTAGATTTATCATCAACACAATGACTAACCCATGATGTTTCCCCTTTCATGATCAACAAGAATTAACCCAACCTGACAGAATTAAACCAAAATTCTTAAAATTTACAAGTTTTTATCAAGAAATCAGAAGATCAGATGCACAGAAACAGCTCATCTGAAACTAAATCAAGATCAAAACCAGTTAATAACCTCAAATCAGATGAAAATAAATGCAATCAGTAAGAAACTTCAGCAAAAATCAACAAGAGCATAAAGAAGAACAGCAATTTAAGTATACATAACATAACCAAGATCACCCATCTGTTTCGATTTGTAAACTAATTTAAGAACAGACCCAGAAAATAATCTATTCAAAGGAGCAATCTTGAGTTATGGAAACAGATTCTTTGCATGTCTGAGTTATGGAAACGGATAATTTGCATATATGTGAAGGGAAAGATGTGTTTGAGAAAGATTCTTTGCAGATGTTTGAAGCAAAAAAAAGGCATACAAAGACATATTTAAGGCCATTTTCTTGACAATGATAATGATGAAAGAAACTGCAAAGCAGAGTCACTATCAGGACACAAAGACAGAACCATTCTCAGAAAATATGCATTTTTTAAAAATCTGTTTTCTTGCTGTGAAGAAATCAAGAAATTGAACAAGAAAACACCCCCACATCAAAATTTGTGATTTTGATGATTTTTAAAATGATATCAAGATTTGTACCCAGATGAAGATGTCATAAGATCATGATCCACACAAATGTGATGATTAGATTTCAAGCCAAAATCAAACCCTAAAAATGGGATTCAGAAGAAGGGGAAATCAGAATCAAAATCAAAATCAAATGATGATATAATAATAAAAGTTAGGTAAAGTACCAAGAGCAGATAGAGCTATCAATCAAACATCAAGAAAAGCCACCTCAAATCTAAAGAACACACCAATCATAAACTAAAATAACATACAACTTTGTATCCCTAAATATATAAACAATTGTGACACACACTAAATACTTCGAATACTAGAGTAAAAGTTGCAGAAAATACCTATATGAACACCGAGGACTCTCCGGTTTCTATTTGAATACGTGAATCCAAATGGGTGTTTCAAGATTGGTGCAAAAAGATGAAGCTTTCACAAGGGAAATGAAGAAACCCCCAAATTTGCTCCATCAAATTGCAAAATCTTAAAAGGACTGTAAACAAAAGGAGAAGCAAGATCAAAAGGGTGTTTCACTGTTTTGAGATTGATCAAAAAAAGAGATGGAGAAAAATGGGTATCTGAGCCTGAGCCCCCCTCCCTCTCTCTTTCTTGATTGTTCTTCAACAAAACAAAAATAAAGTATGTATTGAAAGGGTTTCTTTGAGAACGTCTTTGTTTCTTTCGGGTAATAAAAACAATGGGTAGTGGAGTGTAACCAAGAAAGGTTACTGTGTATATGTGTGTGTGTGAGAGAGAGAGAGAGAGAGAGAGAGAGAGAGAGAGAGA